GGATCCAGTTGAACCCATGCCAACTATGACCGACCAAACAACACTTGTTCCAAATGAAGAAGAAGCATTTGCATTGGAACCAATTGATATAACTGGTGAGCAAATAAACTTAAATTTATACAACGCAGAACATAAGGTCCTACATGTATTTCTGGCACTTTCCTGTTCACTGATGATCTGTATTTTAGAGAACTTGGCTGCTTTCTCTTAGGTCATAGTTATTTGTCATAGTCTTTATTCAGTTATAGTTTGAGGATTGTGTAGAGTATCTTTACAAGTTCCCATGAGATACTGAAGTATAGAACAAGCAGTCTGCTATCTTAGACTTTTAGGGTTCCCAAAATATTAGCATGTCACATGTGTAACAAAATATTGTAGGTTATTTTCCAATAAAACACAGGAGAACTAATCAGTTATCTTTCAAAGTTGTTGATTCTGTACAGTTTCTGCTACAATCTAGAAAAACCTATAAATACTGTTGATGGTTTCTTGGCATGTTAAAGTAGAATACTTGAAATTAGTCACAGTGTAATTTAGACATAATTTTTACTTTGGGGGGACATGGAGGAGAACAGGATCACACTCTTGTCACCCAGACTGCTGGAGTGCAGTGACCCAGTTATAGCTCACTGTAACCTCGAATTCCTATACTCCAGTGATTCTGCCTCAGCTTCTTTTAGTATTTTATACCACCACACCTAGAAATTTTTTTGTTTTTTACAGAGATAGGGGTCTCGCTGTGTTTCTCAGGCTGGTGGCCACAAGCAGTCCTCCCACCTTGGCCTCCCAAAGTGCTAGGATTACAGGTGTGTGAGCCAACATTCCTGGCCAGTTTTCCCTTTCAAGTAGAAAAAGATTAATTTATTGAGTTCCTACTGAGGATAATCTGATCACCAAAAATTGTGGCTTGGGCTTCTGGTCTCTAAAGAGTGCTTGTTATGAACCCCATTCTGTTTAGGAATTAGCGATATTATAATAAATGCTTATCCTCATAGAATTCATACTAATTATGGAAACATGGGTAATTAAGCAAAATATGTACCATATTACATATTGACAGATAATCAGAGAAGGGAATTGAATGGCTAGAGGACGGAGATTGAAGAGAGACTGTCACTATAGTATAATGCCTTTTTGTATTTTGAGTGTCAAATGTTTTATATATAAAAACCTAGGGGTATAACATGTCTGACAGTGAAATCTTGAGGAATTTAATCTCATCAACTTTTCTATTGCTTTAATTAAGATAATAACTAGCTACTTTGCAAGGTTGGAAGCATTAGGAATGAATATAAAAAAGTGTCTGAGATGGAGTTTCAGTTCCATCTGACTAGGGTTGGGTTTATTTCAGTTAATTAGGCTGCATCTACAGTTGCCATATATGAATTTTAACTTTTCTAATCATTTATGGAAAATTCACTCTGTGCCAGACAGATACTATGCAGAGTATTTTACAAATGCTATAAGTGGTTAGCCTTATTTCAGATGAGAAAATAAGCCCAACTCTGATGAATCAAGTGTGATCTCTTCATTATTAAGAATGGAAAGCTATATGGGCAAAAATGTACTCATTCTTGCATTATTTTTCTCATTTTGTACTATAAGTTCATTTAGCATATTTTTGTTGAATGCCTGTTTTATGGCAACCTCTATTAACGGTAGTTAAAAAACATCACTAAAATAGTCTACCCTCGTGAGATTTAACTTTTCTACTAGGGTCTGTATGTAGCAAAGCAAAAGATACCATCAGGCCAAGTCCAATAGCTGTTTTGTGGTGGCCTCTCAAGAAAATGACCTTATTTTCTTTTATCCTTCCAGTCAAAGAAACAAAAGCCAAGAGGAAGAGGAAGCTAATTGTTGACAGTGTCAAAGAGCTGGATAGCAAGACAATTAGAGCCCAACTTAGTGATTATTCTGATATTGTTACTACTTTGGATTTGGCACCACCTACCAAGAAATTGATGATGTGGAAAGAGACAGGAGGAGTGGAAAAACTTTTCTCTTTACCTGCTCAGCCTTTATGGAATAACAGACTACTGAAGGTAATAATTATCTTACAGAATTTTTTGTTTCATATATATTTTGATTTCTTTAAAAAAAAACAAAACTTCAGAATCCTTTGGATTATTTTAATTAAGTATGTTTCAACTCTGTAACACCTTTCCTTTTGTCACAGTGTACTAGAAAAACCTCATCTGAAATACAGGGCTATGTGACACCTGCATTTCTAAAAGATTTAGAATAAATTTTCTCCACATTAAAAAGTCACTGACATTTTCAATAGTAGTTTGCTATCTTCAACTTTCTGTAATAAACTATTAGTTATATTGCCTTTGTGTGCTTTACATATGCATTTTTCAGATGTTTTCTGAATAAAACATGAGTGATTCTACTTTACCTACAAAAAAGAATTTTGGCTTTATGAGCATTTACGGTTCAGAGATTTCCGACGAGTAAAGCAGCACTGTTAGGCTACTCTTTTGAAGTTCAAATATGCGTAGAACTGATGGATTTTAATATGTATTTCAAAACCGTAGTTTATGATGAGGCTGTTCTTTGTAGGAAGCATAGCGTATAGTCACTTTTAAGAAGGTCCTTAAAATACATTTGGACTCTCTAGTCTCATTATTAGAAATTTTTTAAGATAGTAATTCAAGCTCAGCACCCATAGCACAGTGGTTACAGGTCCAGCCACATGCACCGAGGCAAACAGGTTCAAACCCAGCCAGGGCCAACTGCAACAAAAAAATAGCCAGGCATTGTGGCGGGCACCTGCAGTCCTAGCTACTGGGAGGCTGAGGCAAGAGAATTGCTTAAACCCAGGAGTTTGAGGTTGCTGTGAGCTGTGATGCTACGGCATTCTACTGGGGGCAACGTAGTGAGACTCTCTTAAAAAAAAGATAGTAATTCAAAGTGTTGAAAAATCCATTGCTGAAAAGATGTTGGTTACATTGTTTATAGTTTAAAAAAACTCAGAATATTTTTCAAAAAGTATATGAACAAATCAAATATTTTCCCTCTCCTTCCCCTCTTCCTCCTCCTCTCCCCACCAGTGGATATGTAGCTATTAAAAATACTTTAATCAATAGTTGGTAATGTTTCTATATTATATGGAAATGAAGTGAAAAGTGCACAAAGTAAAGCTATTTAGTGTGATACTAGTTAGGCTTGGTTTGAAGTTTATGACTATGAAAATAAACTGCAGTAAACTGCAGGCAGATAAATTTAAAACCTTAAGAGTTGTCAGATAGTAGATAAAAAAATAAACTTTTCAAGTTTAAAATGGCTGCCATTATAACTTGAAAACCCACATTTACAATCTTTTCAGATGGAATGAAGTGTGAATATAATATAACATTAAGTAAAAATCAATGCTAAATTATATATACACTAATTACAACTACTTAGAACACACTTGTGGAAGATAGAAATCAGTGGTTGATTTTCGGTTAGTTTTATTTACTTTTTAATTGAAATTTCTCTTTGTTTTTATAGCTCTTTACCCGCTGTCTTACACCACTTGTACCAGAAGACCTTAGGAAAAGGAGGAAAGGAGGAGAGGCAGATAATTTGGATGAGTTTCTCAAAGAATTTGAAAATCCAGAGGTTCCTAGAGAGGACCAGCAGCAACAGCATCAACAGCGTGATGTTATTGGTTTGTTCTCTAGTTCCCCTATGAAGTTTGAATATTTGGCTTAAAATTTGCCTTTATATTGTTGAAGTATGGGTGGTGCCTATGGCTCAAAGGAGTAGGGCGCTGGCCCCATATATTAGAAGTGGCAGGTTCAAACCAGCCCCTGCCAAAAACTGCAATTATATGTGGGGGGGTAGGGTGGGGAAGGGTGGGTGGGTGTGTACATATATATATAGTTGAAGTAAAAGAAACAAGAGTGAAAGGGTATACTTAAATTTTTGGACAGGGAAATGCATTAAATCTGATTGCCTTATTTAGATAAGAAGTTTGGTTTCTTTGAGAGGTTTAAGGTAAAGACTAGCTGGGTTGCTGGTCTGCAAAGGATTGTCCTGCATTGTACTGGGGGTAGGAGTTGTCCTTTTAAGAGCCCATAGCTCAGTGGCTAGGGTGCTGGTCCCGTACACTGAGGCTGACGGGTTCGAGCCCAGCCCCGGGTCTGCTAAACAACAATGACAACAACAACAACAAAATAGCTGGGCATTGTGGCAGGCGTTTGTAGTCTCAGCTACTTGGGAGGCTGAAGCAAAAGACAAGAGAGTCACTTAAGCCCAAGAGTTGGAGGTTGGTGTGAGCTCTGACGCCATGGCACTCTACCAAGGGCAATATAGTGAACCCCTTCTCCTCTTTACATATATTATTATAAGTGGATCTTTATGGAGGTAAAATCTTGCCTTCTTTAGTATAGAAAAAGTACCTGTTTTAGTATACTTGTTTTAAAGTAAGTGATTCTAAAATATTCAAAACTCTGTTTTACATCTTCTCTTTGCATGACCACTTGCAGACGAGCCCATTTTGGAAGAGCCAAGCCGCCTCCAGGAATCAACAATGGAGACCAGCAGAACGAACTTGGATGAGTCAGCCATGCCCCCACCACCACCTCAGGGAGTTAAGCGAAAAGCTGGCCAAATTGACCCAGAGCCTGTGATTCCTGTAAGTTAGCAAATCTACCCATCAGGACATTTGAAGGTATTCATACAGTCAGTAGTGTTTAGGAAGCTGTTTTGAAGAATTTCAGTTTAGGCAGAAAATGACAAAGAATAGATGACAGCTGAGGATACGTGAACACAGTCTGCTTTTAGTGGGAGAAGATGTTCTCAGAGTATGCAGTGTCCTTTGACTCTTTGAATAGTCTTACTTGAGTTCAGAATGGTCCAAAGTGAGCCATTCTGAAGGGTCCTTGATTCTGAACTTAGTACTAATTTATTCTTTAGCAAACATTCCTGTGTTATTTCCTCGACTAGGCAGTTTCAGGTTATCATATTAAGTAATCAGAATAAACTTTTCAAATAACCTGGAAAAAATGAATCATTATCTTCCTACTTCATTCAGACTTTGGCTTCCATGAAGTTCAGCTAAGATACAGAAAAACTAAAGTATAAAGGAAGTAGTAGAATGTGGTTTAGGATTTCTTTTTTTTTTTTGGAGACCGCATCTCACTTTGTCACCCTCAGTAGAGTGCCATGGCATCATAGCAACCTCAAATTCTTGAGCGATTCCCTAGCCTCAGCCTCCCAAGTATCTAGGACTACAGGTGCCCACCACAGTGCCTGACTATTTTAGAAATGGGGTCTCATTTTTGCTCAGGCTGGTCTCCAACCGATGAGTTCAGGCAGTCCACCTGCCTCTGCCTCCCAGGGTGGTAGGATTATAGGTGTAAGCCACCACACCTGGCCCTGGTTTGGGATTTTTTGGTCTTACATCTATAGAATATATTAATTTGAGCAAAGGGAGGTGTTTTTCATAACCTATTTCAGCTTCCAACAAGAGTACTCTGCCTATTTTAAGAACTAGATCTCTGCCCTCTGGTGGTAAGGAGTTGTCAGTAAGAACACTTTTCTTGTGAGGTTAAGAATGGGAATGGGTAGTGAGTAGATGACTCCAATACCATTCTCCTTCTGGTAATTCTTTGGTTTCTTAAGGACTTCATTTTTTAATGTGTTCAGCTCTTTTATTTCAGATTAATGTGAGGGTACAAATGTTTAGGTTACACTTTTTTCAATGCTAAGATAAAGTTCACATTGTAGTTGAGCCCTTCGTGTGTGCTAAACACCCGACATTGTGCACATTAGGTGAGATCCCGCCAGTTATCCTTCCTCTTCTCCCCTCCCCCTTGCTAAACTATACTTGTGTTTTTTCTTTTATGTGAGTATGTAATTGTTTATTTATTGCTTTTATATTAGTATTGGATGTTCTCGACTCTAGAAGGAAATACAATAGACCCAGAAAAATAACCTAATATCCTCATTCTTAACATCCTCATTCCTGCCACAAGAGCCTCAAAGCTCCTAGAGCCAAAGCTTATGGTTTTTAATTACGTTATAATAGTTGATAGTACTAGCCTAATTAGTATTACTTTGCCATGGGTTAAATGGGTTGGTTCTTGTTCTTTTTTTCTAAAATCTACATTTTGTTTTTGTTTTTCAAGTATTTGACTCATAAAACATTAAGTATAAAAACGAAACATGGTTTATGATAATAAGGTAAAAGTATCTTTTTGTAAGCTACTTTAATATAGCTTTATAATACATGAAAAAGAAGATAGGTATGTACTATGGTAAATTTTTTGGTTATTGGGAAGCATGGAGATAATAATTTAATATTTATTTTCATCTAGCAAACTTACGCAACTGTGCTCTTAGATTTAAAAGAAGATACCTTGGGCAGCGCCTGTGGCTCAAAGGAGTAGGGCGCTGGCCCCATATACCGGAGGTGGTGGGTTCAAACCCAGCCCTGGCCAAAAACTACAAAAAAAAAAAAAGAAGAAACCTTTAAAATGTGCGTCTTAAATTGCCTTGTTGTTTTCCTTAAGCCTCAGCAGGTAGAACAGATGGAAATACCACCTGTAGAGCTTCCCCCAGAAGAACCTCCAAATATCTGTCAGCTAATACCAGAGTTAGAACTTCTGCCAGAAAAAGAGAAGGAGAAAGAAAAGGAAAAAGAAGATGATGAGGAGGAAGAGGTAAGTAAACTGACGAGTAGAGATATCTAATGAGTAAATTTTCATTTCAGATTTAACAACTTTCAGTCAGCTTTTTTTTTACTTGGGACTAAATGAATTGGTGTTGAGCATCAAAGTAAAGAAGAATGTTTGAATTGAGTGATACTCTGAGGGAGATAGATCATCACTGAAAACATCAAATTTTAGTCTATGTTGTAACTCATTAGTTCCCTTGTGGGCTTTTGAAGGACTGGGGGCTGCCCTTATACTGATTTTTTTGCCTGACCTCTAAATTGCTTGAAGCTGCTTTCATTATCTTGTGGTCAATGGTCACTTCATACTGTGTGACTGTCTGTCTGCCTCTAATAGAACCTCTTTGCTACCTGTGGCCTGGAAGTCAGTTACCCACACATTTTCGATTGGCCTAGGGTTCATTTTGTTTCTGAGTAGACAGGGAGGAACATGATTTTGCTAAAAATAGATTTCGTGAAGGCTTACTTTTTTGTGTGAATAATTACTTTTAGTGTTTTTAAAAAGTAGAAATAGCAGGGTGGCACCTGTAGGTCAGTGAGTAGGGTGCCAGCCCCATATATGAAGGGTGGCAGGTTCAAACCCAGCCCCAGCCAAACTGCAACAGAAAACTAGCCGGGTGTTGTGGTGGGCACCTATAGTCTCAGCTACTTGGGATGCTGAGGCAAGAGAATCACCTAAGCCCAAGAGCTGGGGGTTGCTATGAGCTGTGACCCCACGGCACTCTACCAAGGTGACAAAGTGAGACTCTGTCTCCAAAAAAAAAAAAGTGGAAATAGCATAGGAATCAGTTTCTTTTTTCTGGGGCATATTTAAAGTTTGAGACCTTTTTTTTTTTTCTTATTTCTGGATTACTATGGTTGTTAAAACTTAGAATTTATTCCTCTGATGATTTTATTTAAACTTTTAAATTGAAAATAAAGTGTTATTTAGATAGCATTAAAGACTTAGAATTTATTCCTCTATTTGATGGTTTTATTTAAATTCTTAAATTAAAAATAAAGTCATTCAGATAGCATTGAGACAGCAGTTCTCAACCTGTGGGTCGCAACCCCTTTGTAACAAAGAAAATACATCTTGCATATCAGGTATTTACATTACAATTCATAACAGTAGCAAAATTACATTTATAAAGTAGCAATGAAAATAAGTTTATGTTTGGAGTCACCACAACATGAGGAACTATATTAAAGGGTCGTGGCATTAGAAAGGTTGAGAACCACTGCTCTAAGATATAGGTTATGGATTGGATATATTTTATGTAGAGGTGTGATCATTTATGCAGTCTCGACCGTTTCATTAGCGTATATCCTCATTTCTAATTTATCGTTGTACCACCCATAGATTTTATAACAGTATTTTTAAGGTGATGACTGCATTATTTTAAAGCCAAAACTATCTTCAAATCTACTCTTAACTTGTATACGAGCATGTGCCATTATCTCAAACTTAGTGCTGAATCAGTATTAAAATTGCTGTGCTTTCTGTTATTGGCAAAGGTGCCAACCTCTGACTCTTCAGAACCTGATGTATAGTTCCAATTTAGCATTGGAACATCTAACCTGCTGCCTTATACCAACTTAAAAAGCCATTTAGGCAGCAGGTTGGTAGGTGGCAGGTGGCTGGGAGCTAGGTGGCTTAAATAGAATATGTGTATATGTGTAATGGATTATGACCAATTTCCTGTAAAATACTATGTAGACTAATATTAATTACTCAAGGTAGCCAATCTGTAGGCTAGTTCATTATGAGATTAGGAATCTGCCAGAATCTATATTATTTACAAAATCATGCTACAGGAAAAAAAAAAAAGTATGTATTCTACATATATAGAAACACACACACACAAGGGCTGTCCAGAAAATATCCAGTGGTATAATATTAAATACAGAGATGTGGCTGGATACTTTTTGGACTTGTATGTAATTGAAATAATAGTATACTTAGTGATTTACTTGTGTAAGTTCTGTAACAAAAGCTTCATGACCTGCAGCAGCCTGTGGACCACTCTATAGATCACATCCTTAGAGAGCAATACGGAATCATACATTGAACCAAATGTTGCAGATACAGAGGATTTTATTGTATAATTTTATAAAGATAAACATTGAGTCTGTACTAGGATGTTAAGTGATTTTTCAGGAGCTGTAGAAATGTGTAATTTTGCAGCAGAGTAGTTTTAGTTTTTCAGCTTTTTGGGGAATCATTTTCATTCAGGATGAAGATGCCTCAGGGGGTGATCAGGACCAAGAAGAAAGAAGATGGAACAAAAGGACTCAGCAGATGCTTCATGGCCTTCAGGTATTTCCAGTATAGTCTTGGAGAAAAATGCTTTATTGAAGACTTTTGGTTGGCTCAGGGCCTGTAGCTCAGCAGCGTGGGCACCAGCCACATACACCAGAGCTAGCAGGTTCAAACCCAGGCTTGCCAAACAATAATGACAACTACAACCAAAAAAGAGCCGGGCATTGTGGCCACTGTGGTCCCAGCTACTTGGGAAGCTGAGGCAAAAGAATGGCTTAAGCCCAAGAGTTGGAGGTTGCTGTGAGCTGTGACGCAACAGCACTCTACGGAGTGTGACATACTGAGATTCTCTATCTCAAAAAAAAAAAAAAAAAATTCCAGAATGTTACAG